GGTCTATAACAAATAACACTCGAAGAAGTTTTACCTTTTTCCTCCCCTATCAACGCCATCAACAAGGCGCTAAACAGCCCAGGCTTAACTTCGGTCTGTTTTCTACTAAAATGGTGTAAACATCGTGCACGTTTGATGATTGTTTCTGATATTCAAGCAGCAATCGCATGGCTGAAATTGCGAAGCAGAAGACGAGAAAGAGAAGACGTGAAGCAGAAGACGTGACACAGAAGACGCGAAGCAGCCGATGTGAAAAAGATTAAGTGAAGCAGAAGACGCGAAATAGAAGACATGAAGCAGAAGACAGGAATCAGAAGAAGCATAACCATTGGGCAGGGTGGTCCAGTGGTTACAGCTACCAAGATTGGCGCAGAGAGGCGCGGGTTCGATCCCAGCTCTGTGCGCCAGTTTCTGGTCAGAATCGGTGAGGAGACCGGGCGGTTAGGCACAGCAGAATTTGAATCAGCGAGTTGCGAATTCGAGACTGCAACAAGCTGTGAATATTCTGCGATGTTAAGAATCGGCGACAGACCTACGGCCTAATAAACGCTGAAACCACGGTATTATATTACTAATACATTATAACAGAAGGCGTGAAACAAGACAGGAATCAGAAGACGGGAGGCAAAAGACGCGAAGCAGAAGACATGAAACAGAAGACATGAAACGGAAGACGTGAAACAGAAGACGTGAAGCAGAATAATGTTCTCTCACAAATCGATCAATGGATTGCCTACCTTATCACACAATATATTATATAGCGGTTTTGGCGTTTATTAGGCCGTAGGCCTGTCGCCGATTCTTAACATCGCAGAACATCCACAGCTTGTTGCGGTCTCGAACTCACAGCTCACTGCTACAATTCTGCTGTGCTTAACCGCCCGGCCTCCTCGCCGATTCTGACCAGAACTGTCGCAGGTAGCTGGGATCGAACCCACACCTCTCTGCTCCAATCATGGTACTCTGAATTGTAACCACTGGGCCACTCTGCCTAAATGACGCAATTATCAAATAAAATAAATTTAAATTAAAACTAAAACTAAACTAAATATCGAAAAACATATGGAAACCAGAAGGTATGTATCATTCTCATGGTCACACCCATCATTATAGTTACGTATTCCCATGGTGACAAAATACCACTCTTTAATGGGTCACGATACATTCCAATTGGATCGTGTAAATTCAATGTTGTAAAATTAGGGTTTGCATTGTGAATCAAAGTCTGTGATTTAAATGTGTATCTTTAGTGGTCATATCTTGTCACTAGCGCTTGTCAAAGCTGTCTGAAAGAAATAATTGATCGTGGCTTCTCGTAACACATAATAATAAAAAAATAATGATATAATATAGCAATATTTGGATAGAAGATGAAGCCATACCTGAATTTTCGCCGATCATAAAATAGTAGAATTTTCACAGCTTCCTGGATTTCGAACCCGCATCCTACTGTTCGTGAGCGATACGCAAACACTTTTAGTTTCATGAACGATTTTTAGGCCATTAAAATTAACTTAAAACAAATTAATTCAACAGAGTTGAGGGTAAGAATTATTTCATGGGTAGAATAAGTTTATTTAAACTGTAAGAGAAAGCAAGACTTGTAAGCGTGGGACAAGGCAATGAACGTACACTCAGAAAAATGGATGGGTCGTATTATTCAAATAGTGACACTCTATTCACTGATATGCCTTTTTACCGACTTAAAATGGGTCGAGATGACCCACATAAGGAAGAAAGTGCATAGCTATTCGGACAAAATCTTACTTCTCTGCGTGTAGGGTGGATTTCTATCAATGGTGCATTGTGACTAAATAGATAACGACAATAAACGCGTTCACAACAACAAGACGCAAACAATGTATTCTTTGCCTAGTATAATTCAATACATTAATACAGAGCAAGGTTCAATATACAATATAACCTCCAACACAAATAAACCCTCCTCATTATCATGTTACTCAGAGGAATGAATGAGACTTTGCCCAAATAGCGATGCACTTTTTGTTCTTCTGAGGGTCATCCTGGCCTTATTGTGACTGGCAAACGAAGGTATCAGTACTACACAAAGAATGTGTCACTATTCCGACAACATGAGCCATGAATTTTTCTGGGTGTACGCTTTTACATTCACACAGAATTGTACATTCTGGCAGATCCACACAAGCGATCATCACTGCAAATAAATGGGTTATATTGTCCAAATAGTGACACACTTCCTCAACCACAGCATGAGCAGAGCATGGACGTAGCACTGATACACCCAAACTGGGTTAGGATGACCCACTCAAGGACAAAATATATCGCTATTTGGACAAAGTCTCCTCCGTTCTCTGAGTGATGCGAGGCATGTAAGCGACATGTCTAGCACAAGCGAGGCCTGGGGATGTTACAATAAATTTTAATTATATTCTAATTATTAGAAAAAAACAGTCAATACTACAAAGCTTAAACTGCTTTTCACTTACTAAGAAGAACTAGCAAGTATGAATGGATTATAAATCTACCAAGGAAATTCTATGTTATACATTTAGGTTGGCACACGGTTTAGAGCAATGAAGTTACCATTTAGTAGAGCGCAAGATTAAGTCGAAAAAGCTACGAAAACTTCCAACGAATCTGAAACAAAGTAATAGACAACATAGAACATAATGTTCTGTTTAAGTGAGGATTATAGAGAGCATTATAGTGAGGAACTTATTGTGCTGAGGATGATGCAAATAAACATTCTACCTTCAAATAATGGCAACCTAGATAATAACTTTAATTGCCTACGTCAAATGCATTCGTTCAATATACATGAACAATTGAACATGGAACTTCAAGGTTTGAGAGAGTTTAATCTGAAAATAATGAATATGGATTTAAAAATATAACATTGTAATTTTCCATCTTCCCTTGTTATTGATAATAATCGTTTGAGTTTCCTGTCATTATTTAACATTAAAACGTCAACAAGCTAATAATATTTGTCTTCATTTTAACGTCAACAGTATCCTCATCTTATTAATTAAGGTATTATTTTTGATCAATCGTGGACAGGTATCAGTCATAAATACGATAAATATATTTGCCATATACAGTAGACAATATAGTAGATTTACTAGCATTGCATTTATAGATAAAACTGTCATCAGCCATAAAATTGTAAATACAACGGTAGATTTAAGAGGGAGACTAGTAGTAGAATGGTTTGCTGGCGCTTCAGCTATCCAGATATTTCGCACCGGAGGTCAAAATACAACATCGCCAGCGAGGCGGAAGGTCTCAATTATTCGAAATCTCAAATTAATCATCTCCCACAAGGGGCGGAAGGTCTCAATTGTCCAGCCCGCTGAAGCTGGTTCGAAAAAAGCAGCTATTAGCCATACAACAATAGATAAACATTAGATATATTAGCCATAAATGGTAGATATATACGCTTTCAAAAACCATTCTGTGTTAATAAGTATGAAGGATAGAGTAATCATTTGAATACGATCATTAAAATGCGATATCTTTTCATCACCTTCATTACAAAAAGCAATATCTTCATTATCTTTTCATCACCTTCACCACAAAAGGTAATATCTTCTCAGCACCTTCATGACAAAAGGCAATATCTTCTAATCACCTTCACCACAAAAGGCAATATCTTCTAATCACCTTCACCACAAAAGGTAATATCTTCTAATCATTTTCACCACAAAAGGTAATATCTTCTAATCACTTTCATCACAAAAGGCAATATCTTCTCGTCACCTTCATCACAAAAGAACGAAGTAGAATTCAAATTGCAACAAATATGTAAATGTACACGTATACATCCTAAAAGAAGTTCAGAGTAGAAAGTTCTGCACTTAAAATATCAGCACATTTGACTTATTTTTGTTAAGCTAAGGAGGTATGAACACGTTCAGATGGAAGTCGTGAATAACAAGTGTCAGCGTTGTATAAAGTATAATAATAATAATAATAATATATAATGATTCCATATAATAATGTCAGCGTTGAAGATTAGACCATGTGCCGCCGGTCATGACCCACAAATTGCAGAATTTTTACAAATAATTGTGGTTGGAACCAGCAACTCACTGCTATAATTTTACTGTATACGGGCATGATGTGTTATTAATCGTCGTTATAATGTGTTATTAATCGTATTCCTTCAAATAAACATTCTCAAGTTTAATTGAAGCATATATTGACTGTTTAGGGCTTCACTCATACCTTAGTCATAAACTATACGGATACTCGTTAACAAAAACAACACTCAAAAAAATATTAGGCCATATTGTCCAAATATTGACTGATTTTCTTACCCTTAGCGCGAACAAGAAGCGGACGCAAAAGCGATCAGGGGCCAACACAAAATTTCATCGCTATTTGGACAAAGTCACATTCATTTGTCTTAGTGAACGTCAGGTTGGAGAGAAGCTGTGTTCACTCACACCAAGTTTAGTTGAAGTAGTTATTTCAATGTATAATATTGCTCTATTATATATAACAATATTGGAACATATCAATGCATATATGGGCGAAAAAAGAAGCAAGGGACAAGAAGATAAGGCACAGGGATAAATTCATTACAGTTATTCAAAATTGGGTTAAGATAAACAATAAATTATTAGGAACCGCGTACTCAGAAAAACGAATGGGTCGTATTGTCCTAATAATGACGCACTTTTTGCACGTAGCACTGATACGCCTTTTAACCGGGACAAACTGGGTCAGGATGACTCACACAAGCATAAGGACAAAAAGTGCATCGCTATTCGTACAAAGTCTCACTCATTTCTCTGAGTGCGCAGGCGGTAGCGAGACGAGCGTTGACAAGTCGCGGGTTCGAAACCTCGGCACGAGTGTGAACAGTTCAATGGGAGTAACCGCCTAGGTAGGCGTCGAAGGTGGTGCATCAGCAGAACCGTGAACGGTGCCCCCTCTCCTCAAAAAAAAAAAAAAAAAAAATAACTCAAGATTTTATTAATTTATAATTAAATGTTAATTATGAAATACTTTCGTTAAGAATGACGCGCACCTCTTCTTGGTCACCTCATTCACAGAATGATATAGAAATTTCAATATGTCATGAAATAGTAAAATTGAATTTTTCAACAAAATGGCTGCCCTGACTGGATATAATCATGGTGAAATTTATATTGGTTTCCAGCAGGAAACTGAGACGATAAGTTTTCAGGTTTACATTTGAAGGTTAGTTTTGAATGAAAATTTTATTGCAAAAACAAATGAAACTCAGGAGGCGGAAAATCGAAAAATGATCTCGTGATTTAAAATGACTTAGTAAAGATTGAGTGTGAAAGTCAATTAATGGAATACACAATTATTGCATACCAAATTCCATAAAAAATCACAAAACTAGGAAAACATTTATAGTATATTAAACATTTGCGCATGAAGGCAAATGTAGAGAAGTGCAAACTTCAAGACGTGAGAGTCGTGACGAATAAAGCTCACGTCAGTAGAACAAAGTAGAATGTAGCACAGCACGAATGTCGCCGGCCTTCAATAGAAACGATCTATTATAATGACTAAACTTAAGCACAATTAGCGCAATTAAAACAGTTATTAAGAGCGGCGACTCAAGTGCAGTAGAGTCGCCAAGTGGCGACTCTCAAGTGTCATGAAATTAGATATATTATATTAAATTGATGAATACATCAAAGAGAGATTAAAAAATAACTTGAGAAAGAGCTATACGGCACTCATAACATTTTAATGACAATATTGATAAAGCATCGACTAGAGTTAAGAACACAATCAACGAAGGTATTAAGTTTATAATATAGAATAAGTTCAACTCTATTACACTATAATGTTCTCTCGTTGAAATAGGGCCGAGAGAAACGTCTTTCTAAAATGGCAGATCGCTGGCTAATAATCCCCAAAATTCAAAAACTTAAATATATATAATCATCGATGAAAAATATACATTCAAATGAATTGAAGTAGAAATGAAATTCGCATACGAAAATACCGATCAGTGAGTCAAATTTTCTACAAGGAATCGTGAGGTGGCAACGAAATAATAACCTTTAAGCGAGGTCAAATGGTGAACAAATTACCGTATTTGTCAAATAGCTACCATATTATCGTATCATGTTATTGAGGTCAAACGATAACCACTTCACCGTATTGTGTTTTTTAAAATAATAATCAAAGTCAAGGATTATATATTATTTAACGTACGCGTCTTATTAAGTCTGACTGAATTTAACGGGAACGATGATAATCAGAAATACTTTAATAATTGAATGTGGCCTAATTAAGCAGTTTAAATTGTTTAATTACATTTTAGACAGCACGGCCGCAGCATAGATTATCAACGAGCTGTTGACATGCTCAGTGAAGGCTCTAGCCAGGCATCTTCTTGCCAGATCGCCGCACAACGAATAATCAAAATAACAATTTCCTATTTTATTACAACTTTTACCGTCGAATTGGCTGCCTATTACATCTGTATTTTCACCCAATTTAGATCCGTCGTGTTTATTATCATCAAATTGGGTGCGCTCGACACATGAATTTTCCCCCAATTTCGATCGATCGGCGGCGGAAAACACGTTCTGTAGCCTCCACGCGTAACTTTTATCTGAAATTGGAGTTGTAGTTGAAGTTGTAGATGACGTTGTAGTAGAAGTCGAAGTAGAAGTTGCGGTAGAAGTTGCATTAGAAGTTGCAGTAGAAGTTGCATTAGAAGTTGCAGTAGAAGTTGTAGTAGAAGTCGAAGTAGAAGTTGTAGTAGAATTTGGAATCAAAGTTTGGTCAATGAAATCCATGGGCAAAATAGAAATGAAGTCGCGGTAGCTCATCGTCTCGCTGAGACATGTCAGAATATCTGTAAGACGATGACAGGATATTGTTGAAAATCTATGTGGTTATCAACATTAACTGTTATGTTGAACATCAATCTACACATATTGTATGTTCAACATCAACATGGTTATCAACACAAATGGTCAACACATTATGAATATCATCAACATGGTTATCAACACATATTCTTATCTTCAACATCAACAACATTCATGAAAATAAAACATTCCATTCAAATTAAACTAGGAGTTTTTAACTAAAATTTGTTCGCTTTTATTATTATAATATTATAAAATATATTCTAATAATTCCGAAATAGTGTAATTCAACGACAGTTATGAATATAAAATATTTTACTCAAATTAAACCAGGAGTTTTTAACTAAACTTTTGTTCGGTTTTATTATTATAATATGATAAAATATATTATTATAATTGCGAAACAAAAGATAAAGATTTTTCCCACCTCGGAGGAGGGGGGCGTAGCGCCCCGTATGCGCGTCTAGACGCACGACGTGCGTCACTAAAGACGTCCACTGAGCGACGTTCTCGCACGTCTCCTGGAAATTAGTTATTTATTTTTAATTAAATTATTTTAAATCAGAAATTGAAACGATATATTTCAAGAGGGAAAGTAAGTATAATGTTTGAAAAAAAGTGAAAATATGCTTTTCACCAGGAAACCGAAGTTGTTTTAATTATTTTTCTTTAGATTATTTTTCTTCAGAAACAAATAAGATATTTTTCAATTGAAAACAGAAGGATAATGTTAAAAAAAGTGAAAAGATGCTCTTCACCAGGAAACTAAAGTAGCTTTTTTACTGATAGACAATCATTATATTTAGCAAAATAAATGAAACTAAAAATCTTTGATGGGAAAAGATCAAATAACATTTTTTTATAAAAAATGCCCATTTTGGGAGGAACAAAGTCTGATTGGAAAAAAATTTAAGAATTTTTGGTATAATATGTAATTTTGCAGCACCTTGGCATACACGACGACAGCATGAGGATGCTGGTCCAGCAGGAGCTGCAGCTGCTGCACGTTGATGCTGCACGTGCTGCACGGTGCTGTCAGACATGCTGCCAGGATGCTGCTGCTGCCAGCAATACCAGCGTTGCTGGCAACGAACTTGGCGACGTGGCGACGATCACAAGACGAAGGCAACGGCGAACACAGCAGTGACTGCAGCAGTCAACACTCAGGGTAATGCATGGGTCATATTGTCCGTATTTAGCAGTGACTGTAGCAGTCAACACTCAGGATAATGCATGGGTCATATTGTCCGTATTTAGCAGTGACTGTAGCAGTCAACACTCAGGATAATGCATGGGTCATATTGTCCGTATTTATTGACACACTTTCCTACACACAGCTTGATTAGCCGTGGATGTGCCGATGTGGTTCTGATACTGACTGTGTCAGGGTGACTCACTTTAAGGGAATAAGTGCATCGCTATTTGGATAAAGTCCCACTCATCTTTTCAGTGCAGTATTATAGTAAATCATATAATTATTATTTCTTTATAATTATTACACGATTATAATATTTTTCGTGTGGATTCAGGTCAAGTGATGGTAGAATTATGAACTAATAAATATATATAATATATTTACATTACTTATTATTTAAAAATGTATATAAATAAATATTATACATTTTCTATAAATGATAAGATAAATATTATTTCATTATTAAATATAATAAACTAACAGGAACAGCACACCCCCGCCCACCTGCAGGATGAGGAGGTCTGTTCGGGGGTTACCGCCCCCCTGCCGCCCCCCGTCGTCACTCCCTCCGTCTGGGGGCTGCACCCCCACACCCTCACATCCCCCCTGATGGGGGAAGGGTGCCCCTTGTCCCCCAGCAGCAGGTGGGTCCAGGAGGTTGAGGTACAAAGGGCGGCGCCCGTACAGCTCCTTGACGCACTGACGCTGCTGCTCCCGCACCGCAGCGTCGCGGCTCTGAGAGGGGCAGTTAGGTCAGTTACGCTCACAAAAATGGGTCATATAATGTCCAGATAGTGACACACATTTACCTTGCACGGTAGCGCTAATATGTCCATTTACACTCAGAAAAAATGGGTCATATAATGTCCAAATAGTGACACACATTTACCTTGCACGGTAGCGCATAATATGTCCATTTACACTAAAAAAAATGGATGTGTCATACTGTCCAAATAGTGACGCACTTCTTGCATGTAGCACTGATACGCTCTTTTGCTTGGTTAGGATGACTCCTATATATAACGTACGAGGACAAAAAGTGCATCGCTATGTGGAAAGAGTCTCACTCATTTCTGTGAGTGTAGGCTAATAACTGGAGGCAAATAAAGTGTTATTTAATATCACTGCAGTAAAATCTTACGATTCATTTATTGTTTGTCACGAGTAAAATGTGTACACACTATTGAATAACTGTTTCGTCGGCCTTTTACGTGTTATTTAAGAACCGTATATCCTGTGGACCTATAACGTCTTATTTAACATCTATAAATCAAGTATTAACTATTAACATTATAATAACCTGCGATGTCGAGGTGCTGCCTTGAGTTACTAAAAGCCCTATTATGGAGGTGTAACGCCTTACTCAATAATAATGTTATGACCTATAAAACGTTAATTAACATACAATAATTTAATTAACAATACAATATTAACCTGCGGGGTAAAGGCACCCAGGAGGCTGGCGGGATGATTCCTTGAGTTCCTAAAATCCGTATTATGGAGGTGTAACGCCTTACTCAATAATAATATATGACCTATAAAACGCTATTTAACATTTAATAATTTAAATAATATCAATATAATAATGACCTGCGGGGTGAAGGCGCCCAGGAGGCTGGCGAGGTAGAGGCTCACTAGGACGCTCACGGCGCGGCTGTAGGGGCGCGTGTCGTCCTGGGGGCCTTGTGCTGCAGCCTGATATTGTTAATATTTATATAATAATTAAATGATAATAAATTAAATTATGCCCAATTAATCTTTACAATTAATACCTGGGAGCCTTAATTGTGCTGCAGCCTGAGATTCATTACAATTAATTACTTTAAGCTCAATTAATTTTTACTCTTTGCAACAATTTATCTTTAATCTTTACAATTTAAATTTTTAATACTTTTAAATATCTTCTAAACTTTTAAATCTTTACAATTAACACGTATGATTATCATTAATTCATTCTTGGTAATTAAAATTTATATACATAAATACAATAATTAGTTAAACGATGGCAATTATCAACCAATACGAATGACGTTGGTATAACGTTTACTCAACGTTGATTTAACCAAGCGTTTGTTTTAACGTTGATTCGTTTGCCTGGTCAGAAAATTTATGGTCAATTACAATTAGTTTCTGCAAATAATAGGTGTTTACAATTAAATAATTCATGGTGAATTATAATAACAATAATTTCACCTTTCGTTTTCCCGGTGGAAAAATTATTGGTCAATTACAATTAGTTTCTGCAAATAGTACGCGTTTACAATTGAATAATTCACGGTGAATTATAATAATAATAATAATGTAACCTTGACGATGACATCGACGTGTTCCATGAAGTAGGCCTCGAGAAAGTCCCTGAGCCTGAGGGAGTTGACGTTACACTCTGGGCCGCACGTGACGATGGGACGAGCCTCCATCAGACATGTTACGAACACGTCCAACGTCACGCGTGACGTGGCGTGCTTGTGCTGGTCACGGCTCTGCTTCTGACCAAGAACGATTGTGTTAGGTAGAAGTTAGGACCAACTTAGAATAAGACCCACTTCGAAGTTATGGCCCACTTGGAAGTTATGACCCACTTGGAGGTTATGACCCACTTGGAAGTTATGACCCACTTGGAAGTTATGACCCACTTGGAGGTTATGACCCACTTTGAAATTATGACCCATTTTGATGTTATGACCCACTTTGAAGTTATGACCCACTTTGAAGTTATGACCCACTTTGAAGTTATGACCCACTCTGAAGTTATGACCCACTTTGAAGTTATGACCCACTTTGAAGTAATGACCCACTTTGAAGTAATGACCCACTTAGAAGTCATGACCCACTTAGAAGTTCTGATCGGGTGACCCACTTGGAAGTTATGACCCACTTTGAAGTTACGATTCACTTGAAAGTTACGACCCACTTGAAAGTTATGATCCACTTTGAAGTTATGACCCACTCTGAAGTTATGACCCACTCTGAAGTTATGACCCACTCTGAAGTTATGACCTACTTTGAAGTAATGACCCACTTAGAAGTCATGACCCACTTAGAAGTTCTGACCGGGTGACCCACTTGAAAGTTACGACCCACTTTGAAGTTATGACCCACTCTGAAGTTTTGACCTACTTTGAAGTAATGACCCACTTAGAAGTCATGACCCACTTAGAAGTTCTGACCGGGTGACCCACTTGAAAGTTACGACCCACTTTGAAGTTATGACCCACTCTGAAGTTTTGACCCACTTTGAAGTAATGACCCACTTAGAAGTCATGACCCACTTAGAAGTTCTGACCGGGTGACCCACTTGGAAGTTAAGACCCACTTTGAAGTTATAACTCACTTTGAAGTTATGACCCACTTTGAAGTTATGACCCACTTTGAAGTTATGATCCACTTTGAAGTAATGACCCACTTTGAAGTTATGACCCACTTTGATGTTATGACCCACTTTGAAGTTAGGACGCACTCACAAGTTATGACCCACTTTTAAGTCATGATCCACTTTGAAGTTTTGACCCACTTTGAAGTCATGACCCACTTAGAAGTTATGACCCACTTTAAGGTTATGACCCACTTAGAAGTTATGACCCACTCTGAAGTTATGACCCACTTTAAGGTTATGACCCACTTAGAAGTCATGACCCACTTTGTCAGGATTGTGTGTCAGGTTGTGGTCGCAGCCGTCGCCGATGAGGCCGATGAAGAGGGCACAGAAAACGTCCCACTTGTGGTCCAGGAGAACCAAGGCGAGGGGGGTGAGGGAATAGGGGGCACCCGCCCCCCGGGGGGTGGGGGGAGCTGAGGAAGCATATCGTGCAGCTGCTGCAGAGCTGCAGCGCGGGCTCTCGCCGTCCTCTGCAGCAGCAACAGGCTGCAGCAGCAGTGCAGGATGCTGCTGCAGGACATGCAGCAGTTCGTGCGGCCGTAGAAGACTTAGCACTGACGAAACCTGCACCCAGAGAAATAAGAGGCTCATTGTCCAAATGGTGATGCTCTTTTTACGCTTATCTGGGTCACTCTGTATGAGCATCAATGGCAACTATTTTTACTTTTTATCGAGGTTTGAATTATAAAAGTAAGGGTTTGATAAGTTTATCAAAATTTGATAAGATTTGAATTATCTTCCTTTCAATTGGGCTCGGTAACAATAATCCAGACAAATTATATGAAGTAGGATACATATAGCAATCGATGCCACAATAGAATTTTATGGCATGAAACGTGCATTAAATGTTTCAGAACTTCATCTGAGTATATTTATCGTCGTTAATCCGTGAAATTATAACATTATTATAAAGTTATTATAATAATGTTTCCAGAAAACAATATAATATCTATCATAAAATGTTGGAATAACAATTGAAAGTTTGCAATCCATTTTCGGGAATGCCATCTTCTACACCGTAGCCACCGCCGAGACGTCAGTATAATATAATAATACTATGTTATAATAAAGTTTCGCCATAATAATAACAGTATAGTATTATCATATAAATATTCTGAAATTAATATGAAAAATTATTATGAAATATTCTGAAATTATGAAAAATTATTATGAAATATTCTGAAATTATGAAAAATTATTATGAAATATTCTGAAATATTATGAAAAATTCTGAAATTATTAAGAAGAATTCTGAAATCATCATGAAAAATTATTATGAAATATTCTGAAATTATGAAAAAATTCTCAATACCTGTTCGGGAGTCCCGCACTCGACGACGACTGTGGCAACCGCCAGGACATCCGTGGCTCGCGGGGGCGAAAACTTGGCCAGTTTCCTCTTGAGAAGAGAATATATTTTATCTTTTTTAAATTCCTTAATTGCTGGAGATATCAAGAGGAGTCTGGAGACGCAGTCTGGAGCAAGCTGCTCCATGGACTCCAGCACGGAGGTCGCTTCGGAGCAAGACAAGACTGGAGCATCAAAGTGGGTCAACATGTTGCATATTGTGAACGCGATGGCCTCTGTAGGTGGGTCCTTAACCAACGTGATGGTCCCTGAAAGTGGGTCACCAGTTTTATTGTTCTCTGACACTGATGACAGAGCCACAGTATCTCTGTCAGTACCAGGAGTGCATTTCCCGGAAGGTGAACTGTTCCTGGCAACGCTAGTTGAAGGTTTACTGTCACTACCAGCACTAGTTTTCATGGTGCCAGGGGAAGACCGTCGCGTGGCACTAGGTGAGGCACTAGATGAGGCACCTGCTGAGGCACTGGGCAAAGCACTAGGTAATGCTCCCCTAACCGAATTCCCGGTAGATCCCTTACCCTGGTTGCTGGGTGGTAGCGGCTTTTTGGATTGGTTGGAGCGATTAACCGTACTACCTCTTCTGGTAGCACCTGATATAGCTTTAATGGAACTAGTAGCGGTTTTAACACTAGTATTCGAGACTAGTGTAGCAGGGGCACTAGTGGTGATGACTCGCTCAGAGCAACTTTTTGCGGAAACAGTCGTACTTTCAGACGAAGTATTCAAACTTACAGTGGAAGAAGTAACACTTTTATTGGAAGTAGCAGTATTTTTTCCACTGGAATCGCCAGTTTTTGCACTGGAATCGCCAGTTTTTTCACTGAAATTGCCAGTTTTTGCACTGGAATTGCCAGTTCTGGCGACATTGATAGCAGTAAGGCGGGATATGACGGCGCTGGGGGACACACCGAAGCCCAAGTAAACCTGCACGCAGGCCCACAGCCACTCCTGCTCCTTGCCGTGCCTGCACACTCAAGTAAATTAGTGGAACTTTGTCCAAATAGCGATGCACTGTTTGCCCTTGTGTTTTTTGCCTAATCATGACCCATTTTGGCCGGCATGAGGGTGTATCAGTGTTACATACAGAAAGCGTGTCACTATTTCAACAATATGACACATTTCTTTTTCTCTGTCTCCTTCAGGTTAGTTAAGTGCATAAATTCTTAAAATTTAGGCCTGTCAGCAGAACACTCAGAAAAATGCATGGATCATCTTGTCCAAATAGTGACACTCTCATAGGTACGAAGCGAGCAGAGAGCGGACGAAGCACTGATAAGCCCTTTTATCAGGCCAGACTTAATCGGGATTACACACATAAGGACAAAAATGTATCGATATTTGGACGATAGAAAAGTCCCACATATTAATTAGATAGGTACTTAAAACTTGCTACATTGGTCAGAAGTTATCATTTTAAATTCAAACCAATTAACTTTAATTAATTCCAACCTATTAACTCGACTTAATTTCAAGCAAATAATGCTAATAAATTTCAATCAATTAACGAATTAATTCCACCAATTAACTTTAACTAATTCCAAGCAATTAACTCTGATTAATTGCAACCAATCAACTCTAATTAATTCCAAGCAATTAATTCTGATTAATTCCAACTAATTAACTCTGATTAATTCCAATTAATTAACCTCAACTAATTAGCACTAATTAATTAACTAATGAACGTACACCGCGTGGTGGTCGGCGAGAAGCAGCATGGCTTCCTTCAGTAAAGTCCACGGGTCAACATCGCCGTCTTCAGCGCGCTAAAAAATAAAAACAATGCTTAAAAATAAAAATATATAAACAATATTGATAATCAAATGGGATTATTTTGCCTGATTATCCCAAATATTCCTCATAATTGACACAGAAGATCAAAAGTGCTTGTTTTAATACAAATTAAAACTTGTGATAACACAGATTGTGTGAGACAAAGCGACTTTTTGACTATTCCTAATAATTAAACCAAAAGATTAAAAGAAAAAGATTTGTATTAAAACACACATATAAAACTTGTGATAACACAGATTGCGTGAGTCATGGCGACCTTTTGATCAGAGGAGGCGGGGCGCCGCCCCCTGATGGGGGTGCGGGGCTTGCGTCGCGGGGGGGACCGGGCCCACCCAGACGCAGGGGGTTCACGGGGCTAGGGGAGTAAATGCAACAAACTGTATATATATTTCAAAACGACAAGATTCCAAATATGTGCATTATAATAAAATCAATAATGACAGAAATAAAGACAATATATCTGCATTATAATAATATTAATAGTAACAGAAATTGGTTTAAAGTTTATAAACACAAAGCCTATGAGTAACTCACGGAAGGAGTGGTGGAGTGTTCGGTTTTTTTAGGAGTGGTTTTGGTCAAGTTTCGAGGAGAGTGCAAAACTTTCACGTCGCTTTCCATTTCTTCGAGTTTCTTGCCAGCCATTTTGATCTTCATGCATTCCTCTATACCTCCACCCGCGGTGTCTAGTAATGGTGGGGGAACACAAGTATTTAACGACACGCTTATCCCCGATAAAAATTCTGGTTAGACAAACACTCGTACCCCAAGAGTCGCTCCCTAACCAAATCCGGGCTACATAGCTAACAAAATATGGACATATATATCAAAATATGAACATACCGGTACCTAACAAAATTAGGGGTAGATACCTTATAAAATATGAACATGTCTAACAAAATCCGGGCCACATACTCAACAAAATGTAAACATGCCTAACAAAATATGGACATATCTAACAAAATATGAGCATATATGTCAAAATATGAACATACCTTACCAATATGAAAATACCTTACAAAATTTGAACATACATAACAAAATTCGGGGTAGATACTTAACAAAATATGAACATGCCTAACAAAATTCAGGCTACATAACCAACAATATATGAGCAAACCTAACATAATATGAACATACCTAACAAAATTCGGGTACCGCCTAAACTTCTGCCCAGGAGTCGCTACACTCGATTTAAAGTTATTTTGGGTCTGCTTAGCCACCCGATCAAAAACAGTTTTTGGTCAGAATCTCCCTAAGACTTCATCGTCTTTTGAGGGTATAAGATTGGTGGGCCAATAGAGTCATACCAAGCTAGTAAGCGGTCTAGAGGCTGGTCTTGAAACCCCGAGTCGAAGTGGACATGGAGCGGCTGATTTACGTGCTCCCCGAGTCTTGGGCGGCACCTATTTCAGAGTCCGGCCCGCATCTAATTTTTAGGTTCATTACATCCCGTGAATATTTCTTAATTCTGACGAATTTTATGTCTATTAGTTATCAAATTATCGGCATTAATTGATATAACTGCAGAGGAGACGTATCCTGAAATAAGATAGTTTAACACTTCAACAGTTTAACGCCTAGTGACGACTCGGAGATGGAGGACGACGAAGGCGGAGCATCAGCTTGACCGCGGACTACGACGTCCTAAACTCATCACAAGGTCACAAGTTTAATTTTTTAAATAGTTAAAAAAATAGATTAAATTCTGGCACGGCTAATGGAATATGTATTGAGTGGCACTCACCAGGACCAGTGGTGGCACCTGAGCTGTCACTGCTGTGGCCGGACGTGGCACTGCCATCACTGCGCGATGACTCACTGCCATCAGGCGTGTGGTGGCACTGCATGGTGGCACTGTACTGGTGCATGACCAGCACCATGATGCCCTCCAGCAGGAGGTGGAGGTAGGTGGAGGGGGAGGAGAGGTAGTGAGTGTGACCTACCCTCACCATCTCTCGGTAGAGGGAGCGGGGGGAGGGGAGGCGTAGGGAGTACAGGGTGTCTTCGGAGGGACCGAGGGAGCGGCACCCCCGTGGCCTGCGTGAGTGAACCTCATGGTTACCGACATTAATTGATACATTTTTTTGTACTATGAATTTTTTAAAAGTAATAACCTAGTAATTCATAATTTATGTAGATTATTTTTTGAAAAGTAATAGTATAGTAATTCATAATTTATGTAGATTATTTTTTGAAAAGTAATAGTATAGTAATTCATAATTTATGTAGATTATTTTTTGAATAGTAATAGTATAGTAATTCATAATTTATGTAGATTATTTTTTGAAAAGTAATAGTAATAGTAATTCATAATTTATGTAGATTATTTATTTTTCAAAGTAATAGTAATTCATACTTTATGTAGCTTATATTCATAATTTATGTAGCTTATTCATTTATTTTTTTTTAAGTAGTAGTAATTCATAATTTATGTAGATTAATTATTTTTTTGAAAAGAAACAGCAATTCATAATTTAGGTAAGTAGGTATTTGTGAGGAGCAATAGATATTTATTTTATTGAATTTAGAGTTATTAAATAATTACATATTAATTATGTTAATTAATTAAGTAGAGGATAATTGACTCACGCATCCCCTGGGGAGGCGATGAGGGCGAGGCAGGAGGGGGTGAGGGCGAGAGAGTGCACGTTGAGGAAGGGGCGCAGCCCCACCAAACATCCCCCCAGCCCCCCACCATGACCGTCACCCCCATTACTGGGGGCTGGTAGGGGGCAGGACTCCCCCGTTCCCCCCCTGACGCTCCACTCCCCCGGCACCTGGGGGAGATCCATCGTGTACAGTCAGAGAAATTAATGGGTCATGTTGTCCTAATAGTGACGCACTTTCTTACCACACAGCACGAGCAGAGATCGGATGTGTCACTTTACTGAGTCAAACTGGGTCAGGATGACCCACAAAAGAAGGCATTGCTCTTTGTACAAGGTCTCATTAATTTCTTTGAGTGTACAGTTAATTCTAAATGCAAAGGCTAGGCATTTAAGGTCCAAAAAAATGATACCGATTACAGTTATTTATTAAAATTTAGTGGTAAATTGCATTTTAATGTTAATTGTTCAAAGACCAGGAAAATAAAACGATTAATTAGAAATTAGAAATTAATCATAGTCTAATTCTCTAATTGTTTGAAGACTATAAAATTAAAGTAAATGAATATGTACTAATTAGTTACAGAGGAAATTGCTAATTGATAATTATCAAATACTAATTACAAAATTAATCACTAATTACCAAATTAACTTTTTTCAGGTTGTGAATGCAATTTCATTTTCACAAGCTGAAGTAATGTAAATTTAATCCTAATTTGAATTAAAAAATCTTATAACTTTTCCCACCATAAGGAATTCCATTCGGTTACCACGGGTATTTTCAACCCCATGGGGTAACTTGTGGTGGGTATTAATAATATTTACTTATTATTAGCAATAAATATTAATTGGTGGGGATTAATAGTATCTAGATAATAACAACAATAAATATTAATTACGTTGATGGTGACGCCCCTGGGGAGGACCTCCCCCAGCACCCCGGGGTGGGGAGGCAGCGTGTACGTCTCCAGCCCCGTCAGCGTGAGCGCGTGCAGCTGTGTTATTATATATTATTACAACTATTATTATTATTGTTGTTGTTGCTAATGCAGCATTATTAAATATTATATTGTTGTTGCTAATGCAGCATTATTAAATATTCTCATTATTGTTGCTAATGCAGCATTATTAAATATATTATTATTAAAGACTGCATCATTATATATTATTATTACTAAATGCTGCATTATTAAATATTATTATTATTGTTGTTACATGCTGCATCATTAAATACTATTAATATTGTTGCTAATGCAGCATTATTAAATATTATTATTACTAAATGCTGCATCATTAAATACCATTAATATTGTTGCTAATGCAGCATTATTAAATATTATTATTACTACATGCTGCATCATTAAATACCATTAATATTGTTGCTAATGCTGCATTATTAAATATTATTATTGTTGCTAGATGCTGCATCATTAAATATTATTGCTAAATTTGAGTGGTAATTGAAAAATTAATTTTGATTTAGTTATCAAATAATAATGTATCTATTATTTCACAATTAAATAATGAATAGACATTTGTTAAGTGATTTTCCCTGACCAAAGACTGCTCTAGCACCACGGCGGAGGCGGGGGACGTGTAGCTGAAGACGCAGCCTCGCCGCACGTCTGAACCTGGGCACATAATTTACATTTTTTATTCAATTATTATGTAATAATTAATTATATGGGTAGTTAATATGTAATTAATTATTTATATAGGTAATTAATATGTAATTAATTATTTATATAGGTGATTAATATGTAATTAATTAATTATATAGGTAATTAATATGTAAATAATTATTTATATAGGTGCTTAATATGTAATCAATTAATTATATAGGTAATTGATATGAAATTAATTAATTATATAGGTAATTAATATGTAATTAATTAATTATATAGATGATTAATAAGTAATTAAATAATTATATAGGTAATTAATATGTATTTAATTAATTATATAGGTAATAAATATGTAATTCGATTACTATTATGTAATAATAATTATATAGGTATTTAATATGTAATTTGATTATTATAATGTAATAATTCATTATTCAGGTAATTAATAGATAATTAATTGCTATATAATTGATAAGTGCTGTATAGTTAATTTTATTCTATTTATTTAGAGTTTTGACGACAGAATAAAGGTTATTTGCCACTGATAATTAATTAACTATTATATATTAATTTAGAGCTTTGATTAAACAATTGCGGTTCATTAATTATATAATGCTGTATAGATAATTTGATTTTATTAATTTAGAGTTATATTTCAATAATTAGAGTACGTTGGTGATGTATAATTTAATATAATTTAGTAATTTAGGCACGATGTGCTTCTTTAAATTGTCAATCAACTTAATAGGTTAATTTAAATAAAATTAGCAGTGCAATTAAATGGATACTTCTTATATATTATTAATAAATAAATTGTATTAATGTACTACACACCAGTAGAATATGTCCCATGCATTTCTATAACATTAAAGTATGGAGTTATAGTAAACGCTACTACGCTCAGGGAAATGAGCGAGCCTTTGTCTAAATTGTGATGCTTTTTTTGCTTGTGAGTGGGTCATTCTGACCCAGTTTGGCCCACTATTAAGGCGTATCACTCACTATTTGAAACGATATAACCCATTCATTTTTTTGAATATGTAACGTTCTGAATGTGTCATTTTTTGAACTTTTGGGACAAAGCGATCTATTAATTTTTTGAGTGTAATTAGGGGGGGGGGGATGATTACCGTAGGGGTCGGGGGTGAGGGTGAGGTGGTAGAGGTACCCCCTCTGGGGGGCGGAGAAAAACACTGCGAACAGCCCCCCAGCAACAGCCCCCCCGCTCCTGCCACCACATTATTTACGATTATTGAAATTTCCTCATTATGATTAATGATTATTGATGCATGGTTACTTAGGACTATAGATGATAGTTGACGGTTATTGATGATTATAAATGATTAATGATGGTTACTGAGGATTATAGATGGTAGTTGACGGTTATTGATGATTATAAATGATTAATGATGATTACTGAGGATTACCATAGATAATAGTTGACGGTTATTGATTATTATAAATGATGAACGATGGTTACTGAGGATTTAGATGATAGTTGATGGCTATTAATGATTATAAATGATTACTTTAATTATAGACGGTTATTGATGGTTATGGATTATTAGGTACTGATTTTTCGTGATGATTATTGAGCATTATAAATGACTATAGATGATTATTCAGCATCATATGTACGTTGACACGCGATAAGCTGGGAATATACCTAGGATTTAAGTTTAAAGCAAAAAATTAATATAATATATAATAACAATATATATATTTAATAACAATATATCATATATTAAAATATAATATATGATGAGGACTTGGCCGTTTACAGGACTGACCGAGGACGGGCGCCGCTGTGGCCTGGCGACGGCAGCAGCGGGTGAGACGCGCGACTGAAGCTCACGCCTAACAGTCAAAATCATTATACATTGTAATGAGAACATATTTTATCAAGGCTATTACTTAAATTGTTAAGATTTTTGGGCTTTTTTTATAACATCACACTGAGAAAAATGGATGGGTCATAGTCAGGCGTAACTGGGACGATATGACGTACAAAACGCGTGAAAAGGGCGTCGCTATTTGGACAGTCTCACTAATTTCTCTGAGTGCACCACCAAATGTTTGCAGCTGGTCGGAATTCGAACCCACGATACACTGACCCAAAGATAGTGCGTTATATGATCACGAATATATTTTACACATATTACTCTATGACTGATCATCTCAAATAGATAAATAAGCAAAATAACGTCTGTTCGGATGTTAATAAAGACTATTATTCATGCCCAAATAAGATCATATGTATATACTTTTTATAAAGTCTTAAAAGATGCGTCCTAAAAGCAGACCAACAAAAAAAATCAAACCTGAAGTGAACAGAAATAGCTAGATTTAAAAATAGATATTTTATTGGGTAAAAGAAAAAGATGGAATTAAACTGAAAACTGAAATTAAATTAAATATATTTAATAAATTAATATAAATATAATTAGGTATATATTTTTATTAATATATAAAATTAGTTATATATTTATTAATATATATAATTAAGTAAAAATATCTAACCAACCTGCGGCACTGCCGGGACGTAGCGGGACCAGCTTAATATTCGAGAAAGGAGCGGGACCATCAGAGCGGGCCAGGGACCGAGGCCCGGAGTGGTGGGGAAGGTCCCGTGGGGACCTATTCCTCCCCCCTATGTGCTGAGGAAGGGATTTACTCCCCCCCAGGGGGGCAGGTAGCCCCCTGTAGACCAGGGACACGGCGTAACACAGGCCCGCTATGAGGCGCTGCCCGGAGCTGCTCACAACGCGGATGCGGACCGGGGAGCCCGGACTACTTCTGCACTCAAAAAAATTAATAGCACTCAAAAAAATTAATAGCGTTTAAAAATTACTTTTTGCACCCAGGAAAATGCATGGGTTATGTTCTCAAAATAATAGCTTTTACAAATAACTTTTTGCACGCAGGAAAATGCAGGGGTCATGTTCTCAAAATAATAGCGTTTAAAAATAACTTTTTGCCCCAGGAAAATGCAGGGGTCATGTTCTCAAAATAATAGCGTTTAAAAATTACTCGTTAATGACAACCTTTCTAAAGAGACCAATGTCTCCAATGTTACTCATGTACAATGAATTTCTTATTATGTTTTTATGTATAAAAAATTCTTTTACTTTTTTTTATTATTATTTTTCTAAATTTTAAAATTATTCATTCTACAAATTGATTCATGCATTGTCTCCGACTTTATGCAGGAGTACCAAACTGGGTCAAGGTGACCCATACAAAAGGGCATCGGTATTTGGACAAAGTCTCGATAATTTTTCTATATGTGCCCATTGTTATAATGGATTGATTGCACCTACAATGCAATATATTCACGATTATTATTATAATATTCTTATACGTGAAATATTTCAAAATAATTGCTCAGATCTATCCGTGGATCAATAACGCAGTAATGTACGATGGTTACACATGAAATAATATATTTTCTTCATTCACGGATGAGAATCAGGACTGCCTTTGAGGATTAGCTTTATTCTATAGCACTGAAATTATGGTTTAAATATAGGTACATAATATATTCATATATATTTATGAATACCAACGTAATATGTGGGAACCGAGACAGCTTCTGATGATGTAAGGCAATGAAACAAAATCTATCATCTACTTAACTACCTATCATTTATAAACCATCGATAATGCCTATTCGCTTAACTATCATTTATAAATAAATGCCTATACACTCAGGTAAAAGGATGGGTCATATTGTTAAAATAACGACACACTTTCTTACCCACATGAATGGGGAATAGCGCTACTAACTCCTATTCTCGGGTAAAAGTGAGTAAGGATGAACAAAACAAGGGAAAAAAGTTCGTCGCTATATGAACTTTGTCCCACTCATTTTTCCAAGAAAGTCTTTCACTCAGAAAAATAAGTGACCCTTAAAACAAAATATTGATGCACTTTTTGTCTTCGTGTGGGTCATATTGACTCAGTTTGGCCCGGCAAAAGGGCTCTGCCCCTGCCATGGGTAAGATAGTGTTTCGTTATTTGGACAATAAAGCCCATTATTTTTTTGAGTGTGTAATTTGTCTTACTCTGAAGGCCCCAGAAACTCCCCGACGCTGGGGTCTGGGGTGGGGGGGACGTGGTCTGGGGGAGGAGGGGGCTGGAAGGACTGCAGGACTGAGGGCAGCAGCAGGAGTCTGTTGCTGCCGCCCAGGGACTGGCACAGTCCACCTACAGTGTCACCAACCATCATTAGCATTAATAATTCTTCATTATTATTATTATCATTACTATTATTATTGTTATTATTATTATTTTATTAAATAAATTTATTACTATAATTATTATTACTATTTTTTAAATATTATTATATAATTTTATAACTGTTATCATTATTATTATATCCCTTTATTATTATGATATCATTACAAAACAATGTCCATTATTATTATTAATTGAATTGCAAGTAAACCTGCACAATAATGATATAATCAACTTTAATTGAAAACTGGAGAATGTGTTTATTTGATAATATTTCCTACACTATCAATAATATTCACGTTCTCTGATCTTCAATCCAACTTATTTAAAGGAAGGAATTCTGCCACCTTATACTACGAGTGATATATGATATAAATTATAATATTTATAATAATTGAGATATATTTATTATTACTAGTACTATTACAGATATATAATAAGAAATATTTCATGGATTATATTATTCTAATTTAATAAATTGTTCTGTTGAACATATAACACAAAACAAACAAGAAGATCCTTTTACTTATACGATCAAGGATCTCAGGAGCGCCATTAGGATCTCAGGAACTGACCTCGTATCCTAGGGGCGCCATAAGGATCTCAGGGACTGACCTCGTATCCTAGGGGCGCTATAAGGATCTCAGGGACTGACCTCGTATCCTAGGGGCGCCATAAGGAACCATGGAGGAGAGGTCAGCTCTGCTGAGGTCGACGCGACCAGCGGCTCTGTACACCGCGTGCGTCCCACGCCGGCCTGGCCCCTGGCGCTAGAAAACCTTTACATTATTTACTAATTCATTTTTCTCTATTTATTATAGAATAGGAAACCTTCAGATTATTTATTAGTCCATTTTTCTCTATTTATTATAGAAATAATTTGTAATATTAGGAAGAAGTGAGAGCCGTTAGTGTACGTAGAACTCAATTTTAGTCTATATATTTGATGAAATATGTTGAAATATTAAGGTAAGCGTGAAGTCTGGTTCAGTCTATATGTTAAGTAAAGAAATTGCAATATCAGGAAAAAATAAGATATAGTAATTATTAACTATAAATGTGAACAGACAAATTAGGTAGGTATGCTGAAATAGTTTGTCCCCATGAACAATGAGTGTCAATATAAATGTTTGTCCATAACAAAATGAAAAAATTTTGTCCTTACCTCACGACTTGCTTCCTTAGCCTTGCCCCTGAGACGGGAAGTGGGAGTTGGGGACCTCTTGGGGGATCTCCTTGGGGACCTCGGCACAGATGGGGACCGACTCTGAGACCGGGACTGATACCGAGTCTGGGACCGGGACTGGTAAACCCCGCGTTGCGGCTCACTAAATTCTTTGCTCACAATCTCATCCCAATGTGATTTTTGAGCAAGAATCGAGAAGTTGGTCACTGAACTGGGACCAGGGGACATAATTTTCCCGTTTGGGACTTGGTTGGTGACAATTTGGAAGACATGAGCTTCTTTTTCAGAGACAAACCCTACCAAGTCTTCCAGAAGGCAGGCTTCTCGTACCCTGGACCCGACATCAATCTCCATGACTTCTTCAAAGTCGATATATTCCACGCGAGAAATACCTAATGTTTTGCGCTCAAACTTGAATATAGATAATGATTTATCACAAGAAACAATGATATTGCCCGTCACTTCACACACATTCACGAAACTTGCAGGTTTTGTGAGGGGAATTTCTATCATTTCGAGGGTATCCTTGGAAGCAGCGCTGCCCGCTGGGGTCACCCGGCCTGCGATGCGTGCTCTAATTATGGGTGTTCCTCTTTCAATGGGGTCATCATGAGGGGGTTTCTTGCCGATTTTCCCCTCGATTATGTCGTGTATGAGGGTAACTGAGGGCCGGAGGGGGGCGTGTCCCCCCCAGTTGACGTACACACGGACATACGTCACAGCAGGTTCATCGGGTCCACAAGGCGCGTTCTCAAGGGTGACCACGAAGTCTCCTGAGGAAATAAGGCCAAAATTTAATATATTTTAGTAGAATATTTCAATAAACAATATCTTAATAGAGATGCCGGTACAGTCTGTGCTAATACATGTATATATTATAATAATTTAATAGAGATGCCAGTATAGTCTGAGCTAATACATGTATGTTATATATTATAATATGTTAATAGAGACGTCAGTATATTCTGTTCTAATACATGTACGTATGTTATATACTGTAATTATTATAATATGTCAATAGAGATGCTGGTACATTATATCCTAATACATATTAGAATTGTGCAACAGATGTGCTGTAACAGAGCAGCTTAAATTTATTAATGGCTAATAGAAGAGCCAGGATTCAAATTGAGGTAATGGGTGCAATGGAAGCAGAAACAATGTTGTATATTGAACAATGCAATGTTCAAGTATGAACATGTACATGCTGTACAATAACAATTATCTGTATTAAGAAATGAGTACAATAAACAATTCAGAAATGAATAATACGTGAGAACTTTTACTATTTCAGTAGGTGTATAAATAGCAAATGTGAATAAACAGAATATATAAATAATGAAAAAAAAGGACAAAAGACATCAGGATTGTCAGAACATTTGATATCAATACTTGAATAACATAATTAATCATTATTAAACTAATTACCATATTAACTAAATAAAATGAGGGATGTATGTTAACTAAAACTCAACCATAGGTAGAGCATCAAAAGCATAAAATACGTGAATAAAAAATTTCAATTAGTTTAATTGACATGTACTCAAAGCAGCCATAATTGCAGAAGGAGATGATAATAGAATGTACTGCAGACTATGGTATTTACACACTGTAAACTCCACAGTATACATAGAATACTGTTGGTGAGAATAGTGATATTTAGGATAAGCGAAAAGCCACAGCATCAGGTCGTCATATCATTAGTTTGCTTTAATGAGTCTAATCCCAAGTTCACCATGAATAAAATGAGTATACAATATACTATACTAAATTGTTTACCAGGAGACTGACCTAGTAAACAATTTATTGTTTACTAGGTATTGTAATTCAAGTATTGTTTTATTCTAAATTGTTTACCAGGAGACTGTATACTTGTATTGTAATACAAGTATTGTTTTATTTTAAATTGTTTACTAGTAGACTGACCGAGCGGACAGTAGACAATCTGCTGCACCATGTCAACAGTAGGGAACCCCCCCAGAGACCTGCCTCCCTCCTGCAAGTCCCTTATGTTCACCCTGAAAAGTAATCAATTATTAATTGATCATTAAATTATTATTTCAATAATTATTGTTATTAATATTATTATTATTATTAATAATAATAATTTCAATATTAAAAATAATTAAATAAATTATGTACTTGTTATAGCATACACCGTACATAAATACATAAAAAAAACATTCTAAGCCACTCATGAGTTGTGAAAGAGCTCTCCCTAAGATAATGTTATGCAGGCAAAAATTCTGAATCTTATGATACTCACAACAATATTGCAATGAAATAATAAAGAAGAAATAAATCATTTCTTGGACATAATAAATATAATGTAAAGTATCTGAGATATATTTTTTATACATGTGTGCCTAAATGTAACAAGGAATATGAATGAATAAATTTTTCCCGGACTATTCTTTGCTTTTAAATTTTTATTTAATTTGTGATTTAAGCAAACAAGTGACATCAATGTAACACAAATGTTGCGAAGTCAAAGAAGCAAATGTGGTGCATAGCTAACCAAATATTATCAACCTACTTGGAAAATTAAGTTTTTTGAAACCTGAGAGCGAGTGTATCCCTAGGGTGAATAAAATAACATTGTTGTGCTGACCACAAAAAAGAGAGGTAACAAGGTGCTACCTACCTCTGCAGTCAATACAATACCTATTTATTAATATTCATTATCAATAACACACTAATCTCCATAGCTGACAAGCAGAATAGGATAGAATTTTAGGAGGAAAAGTTCATCCAGTTGTTCAATATGGCTTTGATGGCAATAAGGCTACCAAGATGGCAATAAGGCTACCAAGATGGCAATAAGGCTACCAAGATGGCAATAAGGCTACCAAGATGGCAATAAGGCTACCAAGATGACAATAAGGCTACCAATGTACTCTCTAATCATTCGTCATGATTCAAGAAATAGAAATATTATTCAAAAATCTGCCATAGAATATTTTAAAGGATGTACCCATGTTTAATGTGCCGTTAAAATTTCCATCTGAGAATTTCATATCCAATTTCTCCAGTCAGCGATGCAGTTGTCATTTGCATTTTATTATTGCAAAGTTGTTATTATTTAAATTTCAGTATTGGGATACTCACATTATATTTATCTTATACTTGTAATGCTATTATTATTGTTATATTAGTAATTCAATGGTGTTATTATTTACCTATATCTTATTAACACAATGCCATCTTTATTTTCATATAATTATTGCAATGCATAATGTAGTCATTATTTTTTTATGATTTTAAACTGAGTAAGGAGCTGGACTCCAAAACATTTTTTCATATAAAGAAATGGTTAATTTTCTGGCTACTTTTTTTTTAATTTTTAGTGACTTTGGGGTCTAAGCAGTCAATTAATCTTGACTATTAAAACAGTTTATGTATATTGTGCAATTATTATTTATATTATATGATTTATTTTGTTGGTTGTTTGTACCTGTGCTCTCCCGCCACCAGCAGCAGCTCCCCAGGGCCCGCACAGCAGCCATGACAGTCGCCTCTGTCAGCCAGCACAGCAACGTCCTGCTTGGTGAAGTGGTGCACGCTCACCACGCGGACCATCTGTAATGGCAAATATATACATAAAAATATATGTTTATATATATGTGTATGTCCAGAATATATGTCTCAAGAATGTAAACATGGTACATCTAAGTATCTTTCTTGCCAAGCCTAATCAATTAGTTTTGTTCTATTCAGAAAAAATTTTTTGTTTACTTTTCATCATTATTTTTCAGAATATGTCAAGACAAAAAAAAAAGTCCAAGAAAATAATTAATGATGAGATATGCTGAAAGAAAATAGAACACAAGAAATTTTATATTTTTCTTCCTTGTGCAAAATAATAACTTTTATGCTTTAGATTAAAGCAAAATGGCAAACCAAGATAAAATGAAGCACTGCATCCATTAAAAAAATTCATTTAAAAGAAAATGTACATATATATTAGAAACATTTTCTGAATACCGTATATCTGTAAAATTTCTCCTGCTGCACTGGTAGCTATACAATCAAAAAAATTCACAACATAAAACACATAATTACAGTAAATTTATTGTAAATATCAAGCATTTATGTTCGATTATTTGGCATCGAATCCAGCAAATAAAACTTACCTTCCCAGAGCTATCACAGAACTGCTCCACGCTGCAATTTATATGACACTATGCCCCTTGCATCACAGTCAGGATGATATTTCTATTGAATGTTTTATATCTTATTACATAAAGTTATTTTCTAAGGTCCATCAAAGTAATATCTGAAAAATCATAAAATTAATGATTGACAAAAATACGCACACTTCTCTCATGTTGATTTAATTACTCACAACATTGATTTAATGGTAATGAAATATGGAAAGAAATAATGTAAAAGAATTAGTTTACTTTGATCTTTAGATGTTATCACTAGGCCTATAGAAAATTTTCAGGTAGGTACATACTACATACTGCGCAATTATTTATTGAAATTTAATCAATAGGTAATGTGAGCATATATTTCCTTGATTTTGTGGCAGGTACCATTTAATATTGAGCCTCCTTGGCTAGGATTGGACGGACAAAAAATTTATGAAGCTAATCATTTTTAGCCTCTGGATTGGTAACAAAAAAGTTCTTCCTGCTCTCAGATAGCACTGCCAGTGTAATTTCTAATCATTGAAGGCATTTTAGTAAGCATTTTTTGTAATGGCTTATAGAATTGTTGTAAAAGCAGTGACCGAGTCCTTGGTTACCTTAGAATCTATCCTTTTAAAAGAATTATTAGGAGAGAAAACAAAAATAAGGCCAAGGGAGCCAAATCTCTACCATAGAGTGGCAAACAAAACATTGAGCAGTTAACACAAGAGGCTGTGTGAGCCAGAACATTGCTGTGTTACTGTTCCCTGTCAGCTGAGCAACTTCTTGACCTGTAATTGAACCTTCTTCCAATTAGGTTGAGCAATTCCACATAAAATTTAGATTTTACCATATAAAAGTATATATTTATCTAGGGAGTTATAATTCATAGTAAATGCTGGCATTTATATCAAAAAGGCAATAAACATTATATTTTACTGTTAAGTTAGCTTATCCTTGGCCTGTTTAAGGTAAAGATTGCCAGGGCAAGTCTCCCCACAGACATGCTGCATGAAAGTCTGCCCAGACTCTGGATCCTACTTGAGAAAACAAATAAACCTTGAATTTATCAGCTGGATATCCCTTTGACTGAATTCAGTCAGTACATGCATTCTTAAAAATAAAGTTTCTAATTTTTTTATAACTAGAGTCACTAGTTGAAGTTCGGAAAGAAGATATTCTTCACACCTCCATCCAGAGCTACAATTAGATTTTTAGCTACAATATATTAGTTTTGAAATTATACATCATGCATGTATAATTTTTCTCATTTAATCCAATATTGAGTTGTACTATTTAAATTTGAACAAAATATCCAGCTAAGGGTTGGAGGTGATATGTAAATATGTATTTTCTAAACCTGAAATAAATTAGACAAAAGTTTTTTGTTTTTTAATGAGTTGACTTGACTGAGATGTTTGAAACATTTATATGCGGAACTGAACAATAAACTTTACTGAAACCCACCAAGAAAATTGGAAAAATGACACCTGTGAACAAGACAATTCAAGTGCCAATTAGGCTGAAAATTTTATCTGATACTACTACTGACAGTAGATTATTCTACTTAACTCTAATTGCCACGGGTGTTTGTGCCACGCTACAACCTTAGCTACAAATGATTTCTGCCCCCTCCCCCCATTTCTCAGTCAAGTATTTTTTAGGTTTTTTCCATTTTAAATACAATGTGATTATTTTACCAGGCATTAATATAGATTGTTTTCGATCAAATGCAGTCTTCAAATGCATAATTGTGAACTCGAATCCATTAAAAAGTATGAAAATGAAAGGACAAAATTTATGGTCTCAAGCAGAGCCATTTCCATGTATGACAATTCCAACTGCTCGATATTGTGGTGAAACTAGTGATGCTATCAGTGGTGACTGGTGTGGAGACTAAGTTATTCACATGTGCATGTGCCTGGAGCAGCATGTGCAGCACATGTGCATGTGCATGTGCATGTGCAGTTATCTTCACCCATTTTTATGACTTTTGCCTAATTAATTAAAGTAATAAATAATTAGATAAACAATCCATTTTTACCAACAATTTTTGACAAAATGACAACTGGCAATAAAACAATAGATTTTACTTGCAATTTTTGGAAGATTTTGCCTGATATTATCGATGGTTTTGATTAATGATTAGTAGTTAATTAATTAATTTTCATTGAATGATTAGTTAGTTAATATAATAACAGAAAAACATAGGTACTAATTGTAATTGGGGATTTCTACATCCTATGTTACCCATTGTTACGTATTCAAATTGAATACCGTAGGTACAATAAAAAATTTAGTCTTCTTGTATTTGTTTCTTGTTTCACAGGCTAAGAGAGCCTTGCTCACGTTTCCTTCCTTGCTTACTTCAAGTTTCAAGACCTCACCTTTTTAATTCGAAGTTACAAATGTGTAGACTTTCGTCTCGAAAGGGAGAGGGCTAAAAAGTCCAAACTCCAAAAGTCAGTTGAAATTTGTACACTCTGACCTCTCATATCTTTATAGTTTATTCCTTGCGTAGAGCGAATTTAATTTCATGTTCAATTTAATAATGGCTTTAAAAGCATGGGTTTTGTTGCACGTTGTATTTTTTTAGATGATTTTCTTCTTCTTCGGATCCGTTTTTATGAGGACTCGGTTGTTCACCACCCGCCTCACGTCTGGATGGTCAGCAATGGCCAGACTGGAGCGGCCTGTGGATAAAAGGCCAGATTAGACTTTGAAAACTTTGAGGTTGTTTTGTTAGTTCAACAAGCTACTTCAAATTAGATTAGTAAATCGAGCAAGGTTAGTCACCCTTACCTATCGGGAGGGCCTACCCAGACAGGGAGCATGGGTCAGATGGTCCAGCCTGGGCTGGTGCAGCCTGGAGCATCATTAAAATCCATACGGGGGGG